TAGGAAATAAGCTGCCAGCGATTTCCCTATATAAATACTAGAGGGATGGGAGGAAAGTGGTTACTAAATAGAGTATTGGAGAGATGACTGTAGAACAGGGGGGTCAAACTCAATGAAAACGCAGGCCATTTGGTGCAACAGGCAAGATTCACGCGGGCCACATCGCATTTACAAATTGTTAAATTTATATTTTGAAGTGAGGATTCAGGAATATAGATAGGAGAATTAAAACACTATATAATTGCTCTTATTTAAACATTTATTTTATTTAATGTATTTATAAAACTAATTTTTTTTTTACCTGAAACTTGCCAGTGCTTTCCCCCTACTAGTTTTCCAATATCTGGATGCAAAGACAGAACAGACAATCTTCATTGAGGCAGATAAATGTTTTCTATTTTCATTTTATTTCAGAGCATCTCGGGCCACAAAAAATTACCTCGGGGGCTGCCTGTTAATGGTTCAGACCTTGTCGGTTGCTCCCCCTCTGATGCATGTTAGGCCTGATCGACTTTCAACATTTTCTGTATTTTGGGGGGTGTTTGTTTGTTCATATTGGTGTTGATCTCAGATGTGTTTTGTCATTGGGAGTGACCCTCTTGAATTTTTGTTACACGCTTTTCTGTTTTTCAGTATGTGAAACTCAGGACTGATGCAGCAGAGGGACAGCAGGTAGAGTGAGGGTCTCCGGAGGGTACAGTGGTGGTGGGTAGGTGTAAAAGGGATCTGAAGTCAAGGAGTTCAAGAAGGAAAAAATTCTTTGAAACTGTGGTAGCAATTTACAATACTGCTTGATGTGCTTGAACCATGGAATGATATCAGTATTAGCTCCCAATAAAATGTTTTTTTGGGGGAAAAATCATGTAAATTCAAACTTCCATATTCTAACAATAATAAAAACACTTGCAGTGGATTTGATTCTGGCTCATGACAAACCCGTGCTTGCCAGACAGCAACGGTGCTTCACGGGTCTTCAGGGCTGGTTTTTCTGAAGTAGGCACTGCACTTTGACCTGAGCTGCCTCTGCGTGCTCGCTTGTGGTGAGCAGCCAAGGACACTAGCGATTTGCATCACCCAGGTTTCCATTCAAACAAAAGGTCTCTTAGAAGTAGTCAAATAGTGGACAGTGAACACTGCCAGTGAATTATGGATGCCAGAAATTCACATTCCCTGAGGATATCTGAAACTTAGGCATCCTAACCTAGCTAGAAAGTTGTTAGTTTTACATTCATAAGAAGTGCAGGCACTGGATTAGCCTTGCTTGGGCTGGAAAGCGAATGAAATAATCAAGTCACAATTGGCTTTTCTCATTGCACCATATTCTCAGTGGATCTTATGTGCAATGTATAAATGCATTTAATGTCTTTTTTAAATTACTAAGGCTCAAGCACCTCCTAGAATGTTTAAAAGAAAGGAAGCATCTGTCAGAAGTATTTACTGTGACAAACACAGAAAGAAGCTATAATGTGTACCCTTTTCTGTTTGTTTAATACCACATATGATTTTTAATTAAACAGTGAGGGCATTTGTTCAGAATCAGCCCTTAAATAGAAAATACTCTTGACCTAATCTCTAATTAAAGTGTACATTGATAGTATCAAGTTCAGTTTGAGGGTCAAAAACAACGTCAATGAGTCTGACTTTTTCCTCCCTGTAGGGAGAGCAGGCTTGTATAAATATACATGAGCACAGACTGCATGCATTTATAAAGGAGGAAAACATTCCCCTGGCTGTGGACAGATGTTGCTTCACCGCTTTCCACTGGAAGCCAGCACAGGTCCCAGTGTGTAGAGCCCTGGAGGGGCATGGGGCACAGACTGTCAG